CCCAAAACCCCAAAACCCCAAAACCCCAAAACCCCAAAACCCCAAAACCCCATTGTGTGAGATTTCAATAAAAAAGTGGGAAACATACATAGATAATTTTTTCCACAAAAGATTACTATATTAACACCAGCAAAGATTATTTAATTGAGCAGTGAGCAGATAGAGCTCACTCACTAGCCATAGAAATTCTGAGCAGCTTGAGCAAGATTGGCTGAACTCATCATGTCATTTCTGTCCTTGAATTGAGAGCCATTCTCAAGCATGCCTTCAAGTTGCTGTTGCTGCTGCATCATGTTGACCATGTTGGGGTCGTTCTCATTGTTAGCACCGTACATCATTTGCTGCTGAGCAAGAGAAGCCTCGTCCTCCCATTGAATTTGGAACTTGGTGACTCTTGGCTTCTCGACTAGGATGTGACGAGTGAGTCTCTCGATCTCTGGCTTAATAGGAGGATTCTCATTCAGCTCCTGGTCGTCGTAGTAGTTGTTCACATAGTATCCGACTCTGAAGAACTCTTGGTTGTTGTAAGAGCAGGTGAGCAAGATGCCTGTCACTCCCACAATGTCGCATTCTGGGATTCTTGACACATCAGGTGGTTGGCCCTATCAATAGAATTTAGATTATTCTGATATATCAAAAATTCAAATTCTCAAAGCAACTTTTTGCAAAATTTATTTTAAAAAGGAATTCAGAACTTACCTCGAGGACGAACTTCATTTGCCCAGCTTAGAGTTCTTCCATCTCAGCATCTTAGAGAATCTGATCGTTGTTGGGGTCTGAAGCCTGACCAATATAGATGATTCTCCATGTAAGCACTAATATTAAGTTGAGCTTTCAAATTTAAATTATTAAAACTTTGCATCATTTTGCTCTATGTTATGGTGTTGCACTTACCTTTAGAAAGTGGCTAGAGAGCCTCGAAATAGATTTCGAAGTTAATGTTAGACAAGAAAGGAGCTTTAGAGTTGTGAGCAATCACATTGATAACGTTGACTTGAGACATTATAAGTCCGCTAAATTTTTAAATTATAAGCTTGATTATAATAATTCCTGCTAATTCACTCATTATTTTGAACTTGAGGGGTTTTGGGGTTTTGGGGTTTTGGGGTTTTGGGG